GACAACTCTCAGGCTCAGTCTCATTCTGAGATTCCTGGAGGTAGGATCACCATTTTGAACTGAGGTTGAGGTAAGAGCCAATGGCTGTGGCTGGTTGCTTTTCTTTTTGGGTCTTCAGGTTGAACCCCAATTTCTCTCTGTTGTGAGCCATCACATGGGTGCTGGGAATTGGACTGGTTCCTTTGGAAGAGCATCCAGTGCTCTTAACTGCTGAGGCATCTTTCCAGTCCCAAGGCCTGTACTTTCCATCTCTAGTTTTTCAGATCTTTAATCACAAAAAAGATTTAGACTTTTATGGAAGGCCTTTTCTTCATGGATTTAGATGATCATGAGGGTTCTGTTCTTAAGTCTCCTCATGTGTTGAATTGTACTTAATAATTAACATACTGTAAACACAATTTTCCATCTTTGAAATGAAACCAACTTGGTCATTGATGCGACCTTCTTAATATGTTTTTGAATTCAATGTTCAAGGATTTCATTGAGAATTTCACCATCTCTTGTGGAAAATAAGTATCGTTAGTTCTCTTTTCCAGTATCAGGGCTCTAAGAATGAATATGTTGGTGTCCATCCCCTTTCTGTTTTGTAGAAAGTTTGAAGGAACTCGAGTTTGAACTCAGGAGAGACCTTTTCACTTTTCAAGGTAACATTAGCTCTTAGGGTACAGTCTAGTAATTCTGGTAGTTTTCTGCCTGAATTGAGCCTGTCTTGATTGTGAGCCTGATTACGAGGCTAGCATGACGGCGAGCAGAAGGGAGATCTGGAGCAGGAAAGACTAGTCCCCAATGAAGTATTCGAGTTTCTGGACATGACTTATACCAGAAGCTAAATTATATTCAGACTTCGCAGCCCTTTTTCTCCTGAAGCAAAATTGGATTGTGTTGCTGGTTGTTGTTGATAGGTTTGTTTTGTCACGCGCGAGCAAAATAATTCAGTCTGCTGTACCAGAGGATGCTGGATTAGAAAAGTCGGAACATTTACAAAGAGAATGGATACCGGAGAAGAGAGAACAGCTTCCGACCACAGTTAAGTCAAATGCTTTTGACCGAACAGCCACAGAAAAGAGTAGGTATAAAGGTACAATTGACCCTGTGACTGGAGTCCATTCTGGGACTGTTTGTATTCTGCAGGCTTCAAAGAATCTCTGCACAGAACTTCCACCCGATAGCTGCGCTAGGTACCCGCTCTTTAATCTCCCAGATACGCGTTTACCATTCTGCATGCTGTATTCCTCCCTGGGAGGCTGACCTTCATGGACCACATCAGTAGCTGCTAGTTTTGTTCTGTGGTCTGACTGAGAATTGCTAGCAGGAGACAGAGGGAAGAAGATTGAGTATGTAGTCTCCTTTTTCCTCTCTCTATATGACGACCTGTCACTTAGGCTCTCTTAACCCTTCAATGAAGCCATTGCTCTCCTCCAGACAGACAACTCTACATACCCCACACCTGCCCCTGAACCATGGGGTCTAGGAAGTGGCAAGTGTTCAACCCTTACTGGCTGGGTACTGTGCTATTTGCACTTCCCTACATTTATGCTTTCTGTACACGATACCTTTGTAACTAAACCTTCTCCCAATTACTATCAATTTACCCATAACTATCTATTTCATAGTGGGGCTCTGATCAGTGCTATACTGATCCAGAAGCCTGCATGGCAGTACCTTCTGGAAAGTAAGCTGTCAGGGGGAGCCGATCACGTCCTTCTCAAATCTTTTGGCTCTCCCTATCAAATGTGTTTACCTTCTGCTCTACAGAAGACCTTTGTGAAGGAGCCTTTAAATTTCTTCTTTCTGTTTCACATCCATCAATCTTGTCTGCCCTCATCTCCCCCAACACACATTCTCATTCTCCCTCCTTCTCCTTCCCCCTCCATCCCCAAACCTTTTGCCTGGAGAAATGCACAGTGTAATCACATTTTTGTATGATTTAAGTTACTTTTAAATATATACAGATATTTAAGCCCAGTAAAAGAACAGATTCTTATGAAGAGCCAAAAACAGAAAAGCATATTTTCCCTTTCCTTGATACACTCCAAGTCAAGCCATATCAGCTTAGTAGATCTTTGGCCAGGCAAGCTCCCAAGTCAATAATGTATTCCTGCTGCAACCTAGACTTTAACTTAAATAAAGAGCTGGGCTAGGGATATTTGTCTTTAACAGCCACATCCATGAAAGATTTGCTTTGGGAGACACTTATGTGGTCAGATAAACCTGGAAGTCCCTTATCCAGTATAGTCAGATTTTTCTTTGGCCACCAGCTCACAATTAATGGCACAGAAACTTATTATTAATTATGAAAGCTTGGCCTTTAGCTTAGGTTTGTCTCAACTAGCTCTTATAACTTAAATTAACCCATTTATATTAATCTATATTATGCTACATAGCATTACCTCGCTTCCATCTTGCACCTCCTGTTTCCTACCAGTTTCTGGCTGGCAACTCTACCTTTCTTCTTCCCAGAGTCCTTTCAGTGCCTGGAAGTCCCTCCTATAGTTCCTGCCTTGTTATTGGGCATTTAGCTCTTTATTAAACCAATCAGAAGTCACCTTGGTGAAGACACATCTTCACAGTGTACAAACCGATTATTGCACAACAATCCAGGTTTCTATTGAGATCTTATTTCCATCCCCCTATCTCAAAGTATCACTCAGTGTCCATGTCCCATATAAACAAACAGAACAATTTATAGCAGGATTCAACTTTGATAAAGGAAGATGCTGGCCATGATGGGGGACAAGGCAGGAAGATTGTGACTTCAAGACCAGCCTAGGGGTACAAAACAAATTCCTGTTTAGAAAACAAAGAGGTGGGATAACATGACAAAGTAAGGTTGCTATGACAAAGTGGTCTTTTCAGGAAATGGAGAATGGATGTTGGAAAGAGAGATGCCCTTAAATAAAACAGCTTTTAACTTCATGTCCCCATAGATGAAGCCCTACAAGTTAAAAACAATATTGAAAAACAAAAACAAAAACCAACCAGTCTTGAACTAATAGAATATCAGTTGTCAAGCTTTCCCCCCATATGGCTTGCTGCCCATATTCCTCTGGGGGGAAAAATCAATGGTAAGATTCAGAAAAAGAAATTCATATATTGCTCTTAAATTTCATTTATTGTTGCCACCAATTCCCCAAGACAATATAAATATTTTCTACATGAAGACCCCAAGTAAATGGATGCCTAAGAAAGATGACTTTAGAATAATCATTTTAGAGGAGTAGAAAGTGAAAAAGCATACACAAAGTATAGCAAGAACAAAACCATGAAGCCATGTGAAAGTAGTATTTCTCATTGACAATCAAGTAAAACCAAGTACATTGCAACAGATGGTATCCAAATCAAATCCTGGTACAGCACAGTATGGGAGCCTGTTTAAATGAATCAACTAGAAGCTTACTGAACAGTTCGACTCTCACATGAATGAACACACTCATTAATCCAGTTCTGTATAATATTCAGTTTTGTATAAGAAAGCTATTTTTTCCATGTTCTAGCTGACAGCCCAAACTGTCTTAGTCCTTTTTGATACTTCTTGGAAACAAACTGTGAACGTGATATCTGCCACTGAATGAGAAACACACAAGACAAGATCATTTCTAGTTTCTTATCTAATAGTTAAACACATTCACCAGGACCATGTATTATGTATAAAATATAGCACCAGTAGTTGGGTTCCTGCGAACCGTTAACTATCTTAACTCAAGTTTGATATATTTCAGAATGTTTGGGATATGATTTGGGATATGCTTTTTCAAAAGATGGTAGGCACTTCCTGGTAAGCAGTGGCTCTGAGTGGAAAGAGCACTGGACCTGGAGTCAGAGGCAATGCAGGTTGTTTTCCCTAAAGAGCCTTCCCAGATCTGATGCAGTATACTCTTTTGCTGTTAAACCTTGAGATTTTGACAGAGGTCATTTTGAACCGGTCTCAAGCTGTTGTCGTTTTCATTTCCTAATTCTCCCTTGCAAGGGCTAGGAAACTTGAACTTACTGAGGAAGTAGGGCCAGAGGAGTGAGTTTCTTTATGTCTCCGTGTTACGTGGGCCCACTCTGCTGCTCAACTGACCTGTTTCAGTTGCTTGTTAAATGCGACCAGCCCCTCTCTAATCTATGCAACAGCAGTCCATTCTGCCACGAAACCCAGAGAAAAGCACCGTGTTAGGAGCTAGATCCGTGGCTCTAGTTCCCAAGCTGAATCGGATCAAGTTCCCAAGATTAAATACTGCCTAAATCAGTTCACTTCACCAAGCGTTGTTTTTGTTCTCAGCTTTCCTTCTCTTCTACTCTACATGTGTTTGTATCTCCGCAGCAGTGTCTGACCAGAGGAAACCAAGCTAAATCTGTCCCAAAGTGATCTCAGAAACTTCCTCTCCAATCTCTTTCTCTTTTATACCCAGTCATGATGAACAATATCACTATCTCATTGGTTTTAGCCAAGCTTAAAACTCTGGGGTCATTTTATACTTTTCCTTCCCCTCAATTCCTGTCTTGGTCTTGTCGTCTCTGTCTTTGATTCATCCCTTATGTTATTACTGCCCAAGTGCTCTGGCTAAAATGCCAATGTGCACACAGACATTCCCTGATTAAAATGCTTTAAAGACTCTCATGCATCGTCCCTGAATACTCATGCAATCCACTCTCCCAGCCTTTCCTCTGAGCTCTCATGTGAAAGGTTCAGAATTACCAAAGCATGAGATGATTGCTTCATGCTTATGGCTTTGAGTGCACGATTCCCTCTGCTACTTTCTCAGCCAGAGAGAGTTACTGTCCCTTGTGATCCCCATAGCATTTTCATATAATATGTCTGTAGCTCTCGTTACCCTATATCACAGTCATGTCTTCACTTGTCTTCCCCGTCAGGCTTTCAGTTGCCCCTTCCTGGAGAAACTAAACATTGCAGTGTAGATCCAAACTGCAGGCTTGGAAGTGGAATTCTAATTTGCTTTGGACCCTGAGACACTATGCTATTCTGTAATGCATGCCTCCTCTTTTTGTTCCAGCCCTCCCTCTGGTGGAGGCATTAAGAAGCAATTGGAATGGTCACATGGCCAAAGAAAAAACAAAGCAACTTGGCTGATACACAACCTGGATAAACATCTGCCTCGTGTGATTTTTAAAGGAAATGCAAAACTGGCTAATGGGCATTGGCTTCAGGGAGGCCTGGCAGGAGCTTTTGGTCCTGCCACATATTAGTTGGAGAACCCTAATTTCAATCCCCAAGGTTGTAGCTGGGGGATCAAGGCACCCATCCCTGCTGATCTCAAAGACAACCACACAACTATCAAGCAAGCGGGCCAAGACGATTTGACCAAAGAAGATTTTTTTTCATGTTTTCTCTTCTGTTAGGAGTTGAGAAAAACTTGTTTGCAAGAATTTTTGCCTTTGGCTGGTTATACTACAGAGCAATCAAGAACCAGCGCCTCCCTATGCTAACACTTCTCCCTGGTTGCACTAGGATCTACTTCCCTCCACAAAACGTCTCACAGAAGGTCTTCATCTCTATCCCAGACCAATAACCTGCCAGCATTGCTTGCTGTCCTGGCGGAAAATAACGGAATCATGAATCAGTATTAAGTCACTTATGGGAGACAGCCAAATGTTCAAGCCCCCTACCCCTATATAAAGTTCTGTAGGGAGAGTAGCTTTCAGTTTTGTATATTCTGGGTTTGTCTGATGTTAGTTTCTGAGGAAAGACCTTGGAAGGCAGTTTTAAAGGTGAGTGCGTGGTGGGTTAGAATACCCACCTGACTGGGAATAATATCACCTCTAAAACCAACACATTTTAAGAAAACATGATAAATATTGTCCTGACAATATGAACGCTATCAGATGCTGTAGATAGTGAGACTTGTATCAAGAGGTCTGAGTTTGAAGGGAAGGAGAGGAAATTAATATAGTCTGTCACCGGGAGAGACGACCTAAAAAAAAAAAAAAAAAACAAGCAGGTCCCACAATATCACTTCATACACACGTCAAAGGCAAGGAAAGATGATCTGGTCTTAGGCGTCCATCTGGCTGTGTCTTAACCGAGGAAAAAGGAATCGAAGTGCTACCAGGGATAACACAAAATGAAACCAGAACCGGTGTGAGTGGCCCCCCAGGAGTTCCTAGGTTTCTATGTTCAGGGTGAAGATTATCCTCCCCACAAAACGATCGTTGATGACGTCATTGATGATGCCTTTGCCCTTCAGCTGGCACTGTACAGGCACTACTTGGTTCTTCACCACATCTGTAAAATGCATTGCGACCAGGGGCGAGGTGTAGTTAACCTGTAGGGGCAAGAACAATACATTCTAAACGGACCAAGGTGGCAGCAAGGATTGGGGAGGTGGTGATCAGAGGCTCAAGGTAGGATAACCTCGGCAAAGGGAACTGTGCAGACATCCTTGATGCCAAGTCCCAAGTGATTCCAGCAACTAACATGCTTTCCCTCCTTTGGAGAAATTACACTGCTCTCTCATAAGTCAGTGTCAAGTTGTCTGATTATCCTCTGGGGGAAAATCAATTCTGACTCAGAATGATTTGATTTTATGGCTATCAGACCATAAATCAAACGAGAGCTCGTATACCTCAAAGATCCTATAGTGGAGACGAAGCCTGCACTGGCCCACAGGAATGTGTGATTACTTGGACGTTAAACACACTGTTAATAATGTCTCCTCCTGGCTTGGTTGGTAATTAGCTGTGTGACTTTGGGTAATCCCTTCTGCATTCTGAGCTCCAATTTTCTCATCTGAACACTGACGTGCTTAGATAAGACCATATATGACAGCCTTTCCGGTCTGGAAGGATGTGCGGTTGTTAGAATGTGTGGATGGGGTCCCCTCCCCCACTCCTATTGCAATCCACAGCTCACTTGTCTGTTACTACCACCTGCTCCTTCATCTTCACAAATCCCAGGCAGCTCTCCCTCTGTCTCTGAGCTCGTTATGAAAGGGGGAGAGAAGGATACAGCTTACGTGAGTCAGTTTGCCATAGTAAGGGTAGTAGCGGAGGTCAAAAGACGCCGACTCTGGGTAGTAATTGATGGATCGAATGTCATTTTCGTCACCTTTCTGTAAGCAAAAGCAGATAAATGTGAAATGTTGGGTTACAGAGAGAGTTAGAGTCCAGTCTAAAGGGATTCTGGCTCAGGTAAAGTCACTATGTGACTCTCAACCTATTGTTTCAAACCTAAACTCAGAATTGGCTAGGGCTCAACCCTGATTTGTCCTCAGAGAAGCGTTTCTAGGGTGTGACTGTGCCTTGGCATTATAGTTCAAAGGAAATCGTATTGAAGGCCTGGGTGATTGAGAGCAAAGTTACTCGGTATGACTTTGTTCTGGTTTCTTGGGTCCTAGGCAGAAAGGCTTCAAAGGCAGTTGAGAACTTTGTACTTTTCTAGGAAGAGCCTGTGATTGTAGCCTGTCTCCAAAGAATCACAGTATGCTACCCAGCCTTGGATTTTGCAACTGAAGCAGGTATGCATTAGGGAACATTCCCTAAGTTCCCATTGCAGGTTCAGTTCTACTGGAAGTCACATCAAGTACACAGGAGCCTGAAGTATAGCCACACCATCTATAGTTAGCGCACATGAACGCATGCTTCTGTTCGCGTTCTCTGTACCTCTTAACCACTGCGCACAAAATTCCGACAGTAAGCAAGAGGACCCAAATAAGGGGGATGATTAAACAGGACTGCCCTGAATTACACGACACCAGGTATTGGAGTGCCATGAACTATGGCTGTTATAAGCGGGCAGTGTGGGGGCTCATACGGACAAAGAGTCCATCTCTACTAGTCCATTACTCATTGGGGCTATAGGATCACTTCTGTCAATATACTATATACAGTATGCTGTAACAGGTTTTGGTACAAACCGAGCACCCTATACTTCAATTTTGGTTATTACCTCATTCTGCTTGATTGCTACAAGTGAGTATGGATTTGACCACTACTGATTTTTTTAAACGTATACTGACTGTTAATGTTTCTGTTTTTTTTTTTTTTTAAAGTAAGGTTCAGTATATAGTAACTTTGAAAATGAACAGCTTACATTAGGGAAATGCAAATAGAAGCTGGACCAATTAATGTGTTAGATTGAGAGCTAGGATGTGGCTCAGTGGCACAGCACTTGCTGTTACTTTCGACTGCGTTGGTCTTTATGACTTATTCATATATTCAAAAACGAATGAATTTATCTTTAATGATGGCCTGTGGGATCAATTCCATTAGTTTGTAGTCATAGCCCACATGTGACTTTATACACACACACATACTTCTGAACAGAAGGAATGCTTGTCTCTTCTCACCTTACTCAGCTGGCAAATACGGCCTGACCCCAGGAAGCTCATCTTCCTTATTACCACATCCCACGCGGGACTGGCCATTCTCTTCCGTGTCCCCACGGTACCTTTCATTCTGCCTGTTAAGACCTCTTGGCCCTGATTTCAGTTGTGTTTACTTAGGCATCCCCAACAGCTAGCTAAACACTTAGCATATAGAAAGTGATCGATAGACATTTGCTGAATGTGGCTGGGTGGCTGAATGAGTCTTTTTTGCTGTTTTCCGTTATGCCCCTATGAAGCCTAGCGTTGTCTGCTTTATTCCTAGTTTTGACAATGACTATTTTCACAACGTTTGCAAGGCAACTATCCAAGGCTAAAGGATGCACATGACGTCACTGAACAGATGAGAGCAATGTTTAAGAAGCAATGCCAAGACTGAGGGCTTTTGCCTACAAAGGAGCTAACTGGCGTAGATGAGATAGGAGTTAATGGTCCCTTGAAGGACCGTTAATTAGCATATTAATGGGTCTCTGTGTATACCTCCCTTGTAGTCATTTGTTATTGCAACACCCAGAGCCACTGGTCATTGCTGTAAAATGTGAAGTTCGGTTTTAAAATCAGGGACTAATGACTCTAATGAAAGCTGCTTGTTTAGTTCAAAGAAGCAAAGCCATTAGAGCTAAAAGCAAGAGTGTAAACAGAACCCCAATTAATGTCTCAGCACAGTCTGTTCCCTGCTGTGGCCCCGAGGTGAGGTTCAGCCTCTGGCTTTCACAGGTGTAACACACACACACACACACACACACGCACGCACGCACGCACGCACGCACGCACACACACACGCACGCGTACACATACTGAATGCTTTATGGAAATAAGACCTTAATACCTTAAAAGGAAGAAAAATTATGAAAAACACTAATGCTTTTCCTACTTACCACCCATGTAGAAGTTCTTGGAACAGAAGAACTATCTCTGATTGACTGAAGCAAAAGTGCTAACCATACTTACTCCAAAGGAGAATTTACCTGAACTTTGCAGGCTACCTTCACAGGGTCTCCAAGCTCAGGACGAAAGCCTACAATCTAGTGGAAAACAAACAAACAAACAAACAAAAAACTGCTTGCTTTAATTAATTAATTAATTAATTAATTAATTATGTGACATGGTTTCTCTATGTAACAGCTCTGGCTGTCTCAGAACTCACTCTGTAGACCAGGCTGGCCTCGAACTCACAATCTCACAGACATCTGCCTGTCTCTGCCTCCCAATTGCTGGGATTAAAAGCATCTACCACCACCACCCTGGCCTATTTATTTACTTTTTAAGAAACAGACTTCACAGTCAAAATGGGATTTTTCTCCCTGCCTTTGCTCATCACTCCTCACACCTAAATTTCATCTGTGCCCCCTTTTAGAAATGTTACAAACAACTTCAAAGTTGTGTAGCCCAGCTTGCTTCCTGAAATATTTGTGTATTAGGTCCATCCACAGAATAAAAGACTACTGCAAAAATAACCAAAAAGATGTAAAGAACTTTCTAGTTTCAATAACTATATTTGACAAAAAGGTTCTGGCACTCCCTAAGGAAGACTTTTTTTTTTTCAAAAAGGTGCATTTAAAAAGTTAATTATTAATTTATTTGTATGTGTATGGGTGACTGGCCTGCATGTATGTGCATGCACCATATACATGTCTGATGGCTGCAGAGGCCAGAAGAGAGTGTTAGATCCCCTGAGACTGGAGTTAGAGACAGGTGCCATGTGGAAGCTGAGAATCAAATGCAGGTCCTTCAGAAAAGTAAGCAGTAATATTAACCACTGAGCCATCTCCCATCCCAGAACAGTGCATTTTTAAGTGCTATAAAAACATAAGAATGGCTCTCCATCTTCGCCCAGTGTCAACCCTGCTTGTGTTCCAACCATCTCTGGATTTCCATTCCATTTTTTTTAATATTTATTTATTTATTATGTATAGAATATTCGGTTTGTGTGTAGGTCTGCAGGCCAGAAGAGAGCACCAGACCTCATTACAGATGGTTGTGAGCCACCATGTGGTTGCCGGGAATTGAACTCAGGACCTTTGGAAGAGCAGGCAGTGCTCTTAACCACTGAGCCATCTCTCCAGCCCCTCCATTCTATTTTTGAGACAGAGGCTGACCTGAATTTTGAGACCATCCTGCCTCTGCCTTCTGAGTGCTGGGATAAGAGACACACTCGGTTGTATTCAACTAGTGGCCCTCAAGGGGCAGGCTGGTGTGTAGGAAATATTCAGGAAAAAATTAATTGGTCAATGTGTCCGGCTGCTTGCAGTTTTGATGATGTGGATAAAGATGGGCAGAGCTGCAGTGTGTGCATACCAGAGTCCAGCAGAAATGTGGTTTCCATGCTCTCTACCCATGCATCCACTTAACACAGCAGACCCCAAGGGCTAAGATACCCGGTTCATCTTGAGGAGGATGCAAGGCTGTCCAGTAGAGTATCCAAAAGTAGGGTCCTCCAGCCCAGAGCAATTTTTCAGGAAAGAGCGCTTAAAATGGCAGGCCTTCTTGTCCTCATCCTCATCGCCATCTTGGATGAAGAACTGTCCCGGAGGACAATCTATATTCATTTCCTCTTGAAGACTGTCGTTATAGCCTAGAGCACATGTGGGTGGCAAAGGATCGTGTTAGAGAGGTGCCAGAAGGGAAGCCCACACTTTCAGTGGTTTCCCTCTAAGTCCCTGTACTCCTTCTGAAGTCCTCTTGTTCTACCACAATCCCTGGGGACTGGTATTAGGTACCAAGGGATATTCCCAACACCATCCCTCACACAGCGGTTCTCAACCTTCCCAATGCTGCGACCCTTTAATCCAGCTCCTCATGTTGTGCTGACCCCCCCATCAAATTAATTTCATTTCTACTTCCTGACTGTAGTTCTGCTATTGTTGTGAGTTATGATGTGAATATCGGATACACACGATGTCTGCTATGCTATACTCAAGGGAGTTGTGATCCATAGGTTGAGAGCCACTGCTCAAGGAAGCCGGCTTGCCTCTCAGTCCAGCTGCTAGTATAATCCACTGCCTCTCACTTCTTTAGAACTTTCAAGTGTCCGTCTCGGGGTTAGAAGTTGATCATTTTATACCTTTTCTCCATTTCTCATTATTTCTGTTTGGATATGGCAAACAGCAAAGTTGGAGTGGCTGTCCCTTCTATTCTGAGAGAGGAACGGGCCTGTATCAGTAGATTTTGTAAGAGGGGCTATATCATATCAAGACACAGTATATGTCAGGAGGCTGTTTCTAGCCTAAAAGTCCTTCAATTCAACTTAGGAAATGTCTCCCTTTGAGATCAAGCACAGGTGACTGTGGTGGAGGAACTGGAGGGATTTGAAAGAAGGAGAGGAGAGAAGAGGAGGGAGAAGAGGAGGAAAAAAAAAAACCCAAGAAGACTCCTCAACGTCTAAAGAGGCAAGTCACCACTGCAAAAGGGAGGTTTACATTGAAGTCTAGAAACTGAAGACAGCTACAGGGTCCCCAGCAAGAGAGTAAGGGAGGGAGGGCTTCTCCAACTCTGAGGTACTTTGGTCTTTTTATATTAGACAGAATGGGGCATCTGTCCCAGCTACTTATCTCAGAGAGACAAGTGGAGCTATTTGCACGTTCACTATTGGAGCCTTCAGAGTCCATAAAACTGGGCCTTGAAAATGTACTTGAAACTGAGCCATCCTAGATGGCGGGGTTCAGTGAATCCTCTTGCACCCAGACATGCTGTCATGTCCGAAGCTGTTCACTCTTTTGGAAAAGATTGACCCACCAGAGGCAGAACTTAGAAAGGACTGCAGGCTCCACATCTAGACAGGTTGTAACTTGGATATAGTGAGACGTTAAATTGGTTATTTAATTTTATTTCTCAAAATTCCTTGACTTTAAATGTTGAATTGCAATTAAGTTAGTAATGAAAATAGGTTTCGTTATAATATTTTCACACATAGATCCCACTTTGTCTCTTTATCTACCTCCTCCATTGGAACTCTTACTTGCAGTCCTGGGCCTTGAACATAATAGGAAAAATGCTCTACCACTAAGCTATGTTCTCAGTCCAGAGAACTTATTTTGACAAAACTACAATTAATTCAAAGATTTGTTTTAATCTTTTTACAGGAATAAAAACTATGCTCAAACACTAACTTTTAAAATAGAAACTGCACTCACACAACTCAGCATTTTTCTTGAGGTAGTTCCGTTAAAAATGGGGCATGGGTGTGGCACTGACTGCACCATTCCCATCCTCATAGGGATGAAACCGATGCTCTGGCATATGGATTTCAGATACTGGTCCTTTTGGGAAATATATCGTATCTATTAGTTTTTTTTCTTATTTTCATGTGCATGTATTGCATATGTGGTGTGTGTTGCATGTGTGTGGGTACATCCATGTGCACGTGCATATGGAGACCCAACATTGATGCTGGGATGCTTCCTGGATTGCTCTTCCACTTTATTTATGGAGGCAAGGGTGTTTCCAATCAAGCACAGAGTTCAACAATCTGGCTCGCCTCACTAGTCAGCTTTGCACGGCTCTGCCTTCCGAGGCTGGAGTTATAGGTTCTTTCCCATAGCCATACAGCATATGGGGATTCTGGAGATCCGAACTTTTGTCTTCTTGCTCGCTTGGCAAGTGGCAAGGGCTTAACTGCTGAGCCACCTTCCCAGTCACATGCCATCGACTCTTTAGAAGTAACCCAATGCCTTCTTGTTGTTCCCTGCCGTCAAAATTGGTATTTCCCCATCTACTATCTTGTTGCAGGGATTTCCTCAGCAGAAATGCTGGCAACTTGCATCCTTGAAATAGCTCACAAGCATTTTTAAAGAAAGACACTATGCTGACTAAGATGTCCAAAATACCTTTGTGGCCCAAAATAGAACTCCATGGATCAGAAAGAACCCAGCTCTGTCGTTCTACAGGTGCGGACTCTGAAGCTGTTTCAGCCCAAACAGCAGTGAGCATCACTAATACAAAGCTGAACTTCTAACTCCTGCTGAAATGGTACCAGCATGGTCAGGAATCATGGCATTTCTCACACTGAAAAGTTCATACAAATCAACAGAATTTTGTTTTTTTTTTTTTCGAGACAGGGTTTCTCTGTAGCTTTGGTGCCTGTCCTGAAACTAGCTCTTGTAGACCAGGCTGGCCTCGAACTCACAGAGATCCGCCTGCCTCTGCCTCCCAAGTGCTGGGATTAAAGGCGTGCGCCACCACTGCCTGGCCACTAGAAAAATTTTAAATGAAGACCAGTTCAATAGCTATGGGGTATGGCCTGAGATTCTACCAACACCTGTGTGATGTTGATGTTGCAGACCCCAGGCTAACAGAGAGCTGCTCTCTCTCCTAAAGGTTCCAAGCTACTCCCACCTTAGCGTTCACAGAGTGAAAGACAAAGCCATTCATTTGAGAACATTACAGACACGGGAATTCTCAAAACACTTGAGGTCAACGTGCTAGGCAGAGCTTCAGTCCTCTGACTCTTTTAAAAATTGCTGTTACAAGAAGACACTTACTTTCCCTCTTCAAGATAGCTCATCCCAGACTTCTCTTACCCCAGGGACGTACAGGAGGCGGGGATCTTGCAGCTCTCGGAGGACAGTCTCCTTTCCTCACCATTAGCTCCCTTCAGATGAGATCACTTAGAAAACCAATCACCTGGGTGTGCCCAGGATTTAAGTAGGTGGTGCAGTGTGCTCGTGAAGAGAAAAGAAGTTCTGTGCCTTAGAAAGCTCACATTGGCCAAACACAATCGGAGCATTTAAAAAAAATTATAAAGGGTGCAAGCAGGCCTGTGAGACAGCAGAGGACCATGGCGGGTAGGAGTGACTACATCAGCTTTCCGGGCCACCCACTACTTTTCTGAAGAGCTTTTCACTCCTCAGGGCAACTTACCCTGGAGAAAGCCATTCAGGCTGACCACATAATGCTGCCAAGTTTCAGGTTGGGAAACGTTGAAGTTGAAGTTAAGGCTGTGAGCGAAGGGTCTGATCATGACTCCTGGCAATGAAAACAGGTCTGGGATAGATTAACCCATTCTTGGATTTTTTTTTCCTATACAGATTCCCATGACACTTTCCTCCCTGCACACCCCACAGCAATCAAAATGAAAAGGGCCATAATTTTCCAAGTACCATTTTACTTTCCCTCTTAATAATTGAATCTCTAAGTCATTACCGGGAAGAACCCAAGTTAATTGAGGCGGAACATGCTGTGCAAGCGGATTTCTGTCCAGAGAGCTCTGACAATGCAGGGCATTTGGGCACACTCACCGGGAGGTTTCACCTGCTCGGTGAAGGTTGGCATGTAGGGACTGACGGCTAGGAACAGCATGTACAGGAATAGCGTGATCACAGCAGCCAGGGAGGCATAGAAGAAGAAGTAAATGACTAAAATCAGACCTGTAGAGCAATTAAAGATGACAGGAGTCAGTGCTTGCCAATGAGCCCCACCTCCCCGCTGGACTCGTGAACCCAAATCAACTCAGGCAGATTCAGGATCTCCTTTCTTATTGGACTTTGTCAATCTGGAACGGGTGAAGATAGACTGTGTCAGGGGTTTGGAAGTGCTTTCGCTTTACAGTATCTTCAGAGAAGCGTCTTGCCGGGCACATGAGGACTATAAGCAAGATTACAGGGAGTGGGCTTCAACAGAGAGCAGTGGGGACATTGCTTGGGAGTCTTCTAGACTGGTATTCTAGTCTGTCCTGAATACAGATCATTTGTTCTTCATTGTGTCAAGTATCCTAAAGAGACCTAGCAACGTGATTATAGATATTTGCAAGGGACTGAAAAGCAGCCTTTCTTTTCACACGATCTAGAATTCAAAGCTTTGACTCATTTCCACTGGACTTACTTCTAATCAAGGCTTATCCTTGACTACTTATTTAAAATCTTATTCATCCTTAGCAAAGTTCAAGTTGCTCTTCTTTCCAAAGAGCACACTAATGAAGGGTGGGGAAGACAGTAGGGGAAAATAGTACTTCATCACTGATACCTGCTGTATGTGAACTTGGGGAAGTTGGAGAATCTACAACATATATTCATCTGTATCCCTGACAGTATCCCAAATCCAGTCTTTTCATAATCTTATCCTGATTCTACCACTTCTGTCTGTTTCATCTTGGATCTGAGGTTTGCCACTCTGGGCCTTAGTGTCCTCATTTGGTAGCAAGGACAGAAGCGTAGTACTTGATATATTAAATAAACATTAAATAATGCATGTCAACACCATGGCACATTGCCTGGCAGATCCTAAGTGCTCTATAAATGGCATCCATCATAACTGCTATTATTAATATTGTTATTATTGCTATAAGCTCAGATGCATGATTATATGAATTGCCCTTCTCTGTGTTGTATTAGGGTTATGTTTGTTCCAGGACTATATAGCCGGGTGAGGAAAATGAGCATGAGCTAGATGCCCAGAGCTCTTTTAGCCTTCCTTGGGGACCTCTCAGGCAAATATATTTGCCTTCACTCACAGATGTGCCAATGATACTGGGACTCAAGGTTTGAACTGAATCATGAACCAGAAACTGGGATAAACCATACAACTCCAGTGTACCCCAAAAGAAGTTCAAATGTTAATTCTGAAAATTGAACCACGAACCAAAATAAAATTGGGGGAGGAGGGGGGAGAGAGAGAGAGTGACTCTAGTAATCCAGCTAGAAATGGAATCGACCCTTTAAGTTTGTGTAAGATGAACTAAAGCAAAATTGAAACATGGACGCACTGATTTCGCTGGAGTTCCCAGAGAAGAAGCAACCATGTCTGTGTGTTTGTGGTTCTTGCCTGTTGTTCACTGGCTATCCTAGAGGGATGCGTCCTGTGTTTCTGCCTCCATTTCTCCACTCCCATTCCCATCCAGGGAATGGACCAACAGCCTGGAGCCATCTTAGGGGACCAAGACGTTCAGTTTTGTGCATGTAGGGTAATTGATGAATCACCTGTTTATTCCCTTGGCAATATCTTCTTTCCTTAAAACGTGTGGGCCAGAAAGCTATAGATTAAGATAGTGGTGCTACTAGTGAGTCCCCTTAGCCTGAGGCAGGGAGAGGTGACCTTGAGACTGGCTAGTTTGGTCTCTCACAGCCCTGAGGCAAAAGCAAGCACTGCCACACCTACAGCCGTCAATCTCTCTAATCTCTCCTCCTCCAGATAGATAGCTGTACCCGGGATCCTCCTCTCGGTTTCTGTCCTGAGTAGTCCCCACGCTTGGACAGACCACTAAGGGCCCATGCTCCCAACTCTTTACCCAACAGCGCTTCTAATCTCTGGAGACCTTACAAATCAGGGAGGGCCTTGCTCATTGGTCAAATTCATGAAGATAATGAGGCATTCTGGCAAGAGAATGAATTCTGGTATTTGAATCCCAGAACTGGCCTTTCTAAGCCTGTTTTTGCACTTGAAAAATAGAATAATAATATTATTTATTACCTCATATGATTCTTGTCAATATTCTGCTGTCTTGCAGACAGGTGTCTGAATTACTGCGCTAGCACAAGACCTGTGCGCCATGGGTCTGGCTGCAGCCTACAATTAAGCATCCCCATTGCTATGTCTTCCCCAAGCACTTGAACCTTTCTACATCACCCCTCTTTGCTGTCCCACGGCTTGTCATCCACCAGAGCAATTTATATGGATGATGCCTAGTGAAGTGCCAATGGTTGTTTAAGGGTTAAAGTATGGGTTCCCCTCTCCCAGAATTGGACTTGCATTTCCCACGCCAGATTTTCCAGTCCTCTTCAGGCGAGGAAGAAAGAGTTGGACCCTCTCTGGAGCTCCAAGGAGTGACTAGCATTTGTCTGTAGCTTCCAGGACATTGGAATGTCCCTTACATGGTACATTAGTTACAGTTTCAGGGTTGGGCAGGGGTGGGGCTGGGAACTGAGGAGGAGCTAAGGGAGATGGGCTTTGTTTAGAGCCTCACACCTGCTCTTCCTAATTTCAGGAAATAGAGTTGGCTACTTCATGCAAACGGAGCTGAATTAGCAACATTGGCTACAAAACACATGAATCTTGGCCAAAAGGGCCTTTGGGAGGAAGGGCCACTGACTGCAACAACCTCGAGACTTGGCAGCAGGGGACTACTACTTCATCCATGACGCCCACTGTGTTTTTCTAGTTCCTTCTATGGATTAACCAGCAGCTGCTTTCTTTTCTGCTGGGCTGTGCAGAATGTGGCAAGTATGAATTTTCCTACCCACAAAATCTTTTGAGGAGAAAGCTCCGCAGCAATAGTTTACGAAGAAAGTTTAAGTACTCCTGGGAGTCGAGTTCTGGATAATTTGTGATCTAAAGTGAAAGGGCTAAGATATGAAATTCTATCAATGATCCATCAACAAGGAAGCTCAACCTTATTCCCTAGCAATGATCTCTTTAAAAGCAGCTCTTCTCTATGTACCATGGAGGCATAAAGCACTCAGAAGCTGGAGTCTGGACAGGCTTCGGGGCTCTCCTTCTCAGACACTGGTAAGTGAACCGATAAGACTTTATAAAGCCGTGGTCGGGTTAGCAGGAGCTTGCTCTCATATCCTAGACACAGTCTTCTACATATTCCTTTCAATCTTATGGATTTCATCCTATACTGGACAAACGCTAGTCACTTCTTGATTTTGATAGAGAGGCAACGCAGAATCCACCACCTTCCCATTTGGCTAAGCCTGTAGTCAGTCACATGCATAGAAAGTGACAGGCCTGGGACACACACACAATCCCGTGCTTTGTCAACTCGTCCTCAGTGTTATTTTATATTGCATATTGAGACTAGTAGATTTCATTCACTCTTGTTCATCTATTTAGTGGCTTTTCTGATGCAGCTGATCTGTCCTCAGTTCAAGGATATCACTGGTCTTTCTGTGAAATGTTAGGAGAAGTCTGTAACAAACCCGTTGATTGGACAGCCGAGGAGCTCTGGATACCACATCAAAAGCCAAGGACACCAGACTGGGGCATTGGGATGAATTGGACTTACTCCGACTCTGACCTGTTCGGGCCAGAGACATCCTTTTCTCCGGGTCCCACAGGTATTCAGTCACGGTCTGCAATTTCTGCCTCCAGGCATTGCCTGTCAGCTGACCCTGACCTTCTTCCTCCCTTTCTTCCTCCTCCTCTTTTCCTTCCTCCTCCTCTTCTTCTTCTTCCTCCAGACCAGGAGCCATCATCACCTGAGCCTCTTCTTCGGCTTCATCCTCCTCGTCTGCTAAGTAGTTCTGATTTACTTCATCCTGGTCATCCTAAGGCAGCGACAAAATGCGAAGCTCTATGTGAGCAACACAAGCCCAATGGCAAAGCCCACCAGCCAAAAGTAAATGGAAAACATTCACTATTTGGAGGTCTTTCAAATTTCCACATCCCCAGAAAAATACCCATTGTTGCAGGAGGTGAATTTTCCTTCTCCACTCTTTTGGAGGAAGCATTCTTTCTATAGTCCATATTGAAGCCCTGCTATTTCCACAGTAGTGCTAACTTTACCTTTTAGCGTCAGGTATTTAGGTTCTTTCTCTATGATATTTCATGTCACTGCTCTGTCCCGGGCCTTGGCCTGCCACTGAACTTTGACCTATCAGGACTGAGCTGAGCTCACACTGAAGGGCCGAGCAGTCTTGGACATTTATGCCTATGATGGCAACTTCCCAGCCCAAGCCAGCTTTGTCCTAATGCTCTGTACACTTTCAGCTGATTGACCTCACCATACTAAGTTGCGTCTAAAAATAGGCTCAGACAGATATCAAGAGGAGAAGCCAACTGCCGTACCCCTCCTCAAAACTTCCACAGCCTTCCCGACACAAACAAGGACTCATTTCCTGCTTCCTGTCTTAAGCGAGACAGACAGACCCCCTGAGAGATGAGATCCCAACAGATACTTCCTTTGTTTTCCCCTGTAGCTTAGTTAAAAACTTGGGCATATCCACACACATATACGTTAACACTAAACAGACTGAGCAAGTTTAAGTAAGAGAGAGGCCATGAATTTGAAAGGGCCTAAAAGGGAGCGGGTAAATAGGAGAGGTTGGAGGGAGGAAAGGGGGTTGGGAAAAGATGTAGTTATGTTTTAATTGCAAAAATTAGATAAAAATGTAAAATCAAAAGTTGGGCAGAAAGTAAGTACTCAGCATCTATATGTCAATTGATTCCAGCCAGTACTTGAGATGTGTAACAAACCAGAAAGAGAGAAAGAAAGAAAGAAAGAAAGAAAGAAAGAAAGAAAGAAAGAAAGAAAGAAAGAAAGAAAAAGAAAACCCAGACATCCACAGTGGTATTTCCCATGCCTCCGACGTAAAGGCTGGAGGCTTGTATCCTTGCTCTTTGGGAGTTTGCCAAGGCTTACTGCACGAGCAAAAAATCAGGCCACCCTCCCTTCTCTGTGCCATCCAAGTCTGAAGAGTGTCAGGGCTGGTGCACCTGTCGGGGTTGGATGTGTCAAATGCTAAAAGCCATGGGCTCGGTGCTGCCCCCTTTCCGCCCGATTCCTCAAAGGCCACTTAGAGGGCACTCGGCTACCCATGCTGCCTTGAGCAGAGAGTTGAGCAAACTGGATTGTTCCGAAACAGTGACAGTGTTTCAGAAGGACTGATCTCTGCCCTCTGCATTGAGCCTGCCCAGAGCTCACTAGCTCTCGAGTACGAGCAACCCTTGAATTTGTTCAAACGCACAGCTCCACATCACATACCATATCAGAACTTACGGGGGCTTCCAAATTAGGATTGTCCAAATGAGCTCCAGAGAGGGGAGAGGATCTGGCCAAAGCCACACAGCAAATCCATGACAGAGTTGACAGTCTCGGAACTTGTGTCTCTTGATACTCTGCACAGTTTCTCCTCCATCACACTGAACACAAGTGGCTAGAAGTGGCTTAGCAGATTTATGAACATGATAATGTCTTAGAGTCTGTGTTCCCGACATGTAGGTGCTTATAATCAAGGATGTTTTGACATGGACTCATAGTATAAGGCTTAGGAAAATCAACCTTGCCTATCATTCACTGCTAAATGAACTGACGCACGTTCTTAAATGTGTGTGAACTTATGTTCACGCTTATCTCCCAAATCAGGCTTTGGACACACAGGCGGAAGGTCCATATTTCCTGCCATTTTGTGGTCTATTCACAGTGTGAAGCTCACAGCAAGGTACTCAGTGGATACTCTCAGGGCTCCCGCCTGGATTCTGGAGGATGGTTCTCACAGTTTGTCATTCTTAACCTCAGAAGTTATACATACTAGACTGGCTAGTCATCATGGTCCCTAGAAAGCCCATGCACCAAATTCTCACAGAATTTAAGATGTGACATTTCATCAGGAAGGGTTTCAAATCCTTTTATATTTCTGGAACAACTTCCTTTTGTTGCCTGTGCCTGCCCTACCACCTCTGCTCTGCAAAGGAAGCAGCTGGCCATGGGCACGGCCTTATTTTATTTGTAGATATGTGCTTCACATAGTCTTATTAAAATGGCTGTCATTAAAGTCTTATCCTCCAAGGAAGAATTAATCTTCTTGGAGCTTATTTTCCCCTCATGGATTCCTACTACCTGAGTTTTATTTCAGGAACCAAAATATCTTTTTTCCCCTTCTCTGCTTGCAGGGATAGGGAAATGTCACAGCGTGCAAGACAGGCTTTCCCCAAAGGTTCCTTGTTAACGAAAGCCTTCGGAAAATGCACTTTCATGCAATTATTTAACATGCTCCAGTAGGAAATGTTTTGGTGATGAGGACGTTCATCTCCAAGGTTCTGTTTCTGTCAGTTTCCTAAAGTGGCACCACCCTCATGTGATAGGGAGTGTGAGCATGCTCAGATATGGTAGTGGGCGTGTGCTGGGGCCCTCTTGTTTCCCTAAAAGGGAAACCTGAAGGACAGGAGGTAGCTCCATTTTGAGCAATCTAAATATATAAACATCTGAACAAATATACAAACAAGCAATATGACCCAAAGGATAAATTTGGATCTTGCACCGAGTAACATCATGCAAACGTCTGAATGGATGATTGATTTAAAAGTAAAAAAAATTAGACATACAATTGCATCAAACGATTTATTTTAACTTGATCAGATATTATAATGACCAAGATCCCCTGTGGCACTTAAAAATTCAAACTTCTGGGCGAATAGTTCAAATTAAGTACAACAATTTTAGCAAATCAGCATAGAAAAGAAACCAAGTAATGTACAGCTATATATACTCCATAGACTGACTGGTCTTAAGAGAGAAGAACTTCAGGTATTAAAATAAAGATTCTACATCAGAGTGATAAGAAATTTCCTTAGTGGTCGACATGAGGTTAGAAGAATTGTGTTGTGTTTTTTGTTTTTTCTCGCTCTTGACAATTCTCCCTTAATTTCTTAGGTACATAAGTGGCCATAAACAAAGAAAAATGGTAAATGCTTTGCTTTCTTTGGGGTTCATCTAATAACCTTGCATTTCAGAATACCCCTCCTGAGAGTGTTGTACATACACACACGTACTTATGGCTTAGAGCAAAATAAATGTAAAGGCACGTTTGGACCAAATGCATTTGTAAAGAACTTGAGAGTAAGCGGTGATGTGGGAGGTATGTGCAGGGACATGTGCACCAGTGTGTACAGATGTGTGTGATGAGGCAAGGTGGCGGACAGGGTGATGAAATGGGTGATGGTGGGCCGGAGCTTCCAGAGATTGGATACAAGAAACACAGTGGAAAGAGCACAAGTTACAAACAATATACACATTCTCATGTTGGGGTCCCCACCAACCTGCAAGTCAATCTGGCACCCTGCTAACTTCCGAAGGCAGCTATCACCAGTAGCCTCCTTCAGCAGAGCAAGCGGTGCTGGGGAAAGGATGGCTAGGCTTCCTTCTGGTTCCTATCAAGGATCCTGTGTTTTTTAGCTATAGTTTGAATTTCTGCCTTAGAAAAAGAGGAGCTGGTTCCGAAAAGCCACCACCCAAAGGGGCTGGGACAGCTGGCCAGGGAGCATCTTGCATTTCCTCTTTTTCTTTTTTCTCCTGGCCAAATTTCTTGCAGTGAAACCTCTGCTCCCATCTGCAAAGGTCTGTTCATATTCTAGATTCCTAAAATAAAGCTTATTCCCTGATATCTTCCCACTCCTTTATCTCTGTTCCCCCACAAAGGTGAGCCCTCCTTCCATTCGGCAGTTTAGGGTGCCCTGGGATACTGGGAGTCACTTTCCTGCGAAGTCTGGGCTTTCCTAAACTTTATTTATTCCTGTTTATTCCAAGGCAAGACAGCCATAATCCAAGGTCTACACAGCACCCAACCCAACCAATTAAAAACGGGCAGCAAAATATTCGGCTCCCCGAGACTCACAAGTCTGTAGCGATAACCGTAAGGGAAGGCCGGAGCCCTTCTGGAGCGGAGCTGCCTTCTCATGGCTGTTCAGCGGGCCAAGATGCTGCAGAGCAGAGGCAGGCGAGTAGGTCGGAGTTCTGGAGCTTCTGCTGGTACAGGAGACACTGGTTGCTGGGGACACTTGGCGCCTACTAAAAGTGAACCTTGCTGGCACGAGCCCTTCCCCAAAATAATCTAACATGCTCCTCTCTCATTGGTTGGCCCCTTCCTGGAATCAAAGGAAAGCCCTTTTGGAAAAGCAAGCTCATCATTACAGGGAGGGGGAGATATTCTGGGTCACGAGGATGGGCAACTCACCGCCCCCTGCGTGTGCCTTTCCACCTCTTGCCCTTCGCCAGCACCCGAAATATGATGGACTCAGTGGAAATCTTAAGTCATATTCTTCTCAATTGAGAGTTGAATATCAGTATGTGTGTGCGTGTGTGCGTGCGTGTGTGTGTGTGTGCAAGGGGGTGGGGGTGTGGGTGGGAGTTAGGGTGAGGGGAGATGTACAAGAATAACTTGCTTTTTTCGTAAGGCTGATCTCATGCAAAAGGATCTAGGGTGTCAGGGAAGATTCCCTTCGCTCTCCCTATCCTCTTCTCGCCGCCACGCTCTCCAAGCCACCTATGAAATATTCCTTGCCTGATCACTTCATGAACTCCTAAGAATGTGTATTATGCCCTTTAATCTTAGATGCAAAGGCTCCTTCTTGAATCTGACCTATCCCGAAGAGGGTCTTGGATAGAAAGAAGCATTTTTCTAGGCCACATGTCACAGTGGGCCCATCAGTCACTGCCCCTCATACACACCCTTGGAATCCTGGCCAAATTTCTGTAGTGGTTGAGGTCTATATTTATCCCTTAGCTTCAGGGCAGGGAACAAGGCAGAACTTTGCAGTGTCCGTTTCCCAGACATATATAACCCCTGAAGCCAAGATGGGATCCAGCGAAAGAAAATGACTAGAAACTGCTAGGAACACTGTAGAGCACTTTGGGTTGGTTTGGTCCACCACTGTGAGGCCTGGGTGGAGTTTGTGATCCTTTCTTTAAAAACCACCCCCTACCTCAATTTCACCCAAGTTACAGAATAGTGCATAACCAAGGCAAACAGTAAATTAAGTCACTCCCCTCTTTGAATTTCAATAAAATAAAGATCTATTTCAGGGCATCATCAGTGCTGAACACATGTCTAGCTCTATTTCTTATACGTTCTCCACTCCAGTACTTTGTGTTATCCCAGGGGTTGAAAAGGATAAATCAGAGGCCTAGGGAAGCCTCAAAACTAAATACAGGATCTATTAACTGGCCTTATCTTCCTAGAGGTTGGCGCGATGGCCCAGCAGTAAGAGCACTTTCTGCTCTTGCGGAGGACCTGAGTTCAGTTCCCAGCGTCCATGTCAGGCGGCTCACAACTACCTATTACTCCAGTTCTAGATAAACTGATGCCCTCTTCTGACCTCCATGGATACCCACACTCACTCGCGCACCAACACAAAGAGAGAGAATAAAACAAATCTTAACAAAAGAGAATATGATCTTTTAATGACAGTTCAAAAATCAAGAGTATGGAGACAAAATAAATTTGGAGTGAGAAGACTTCAAGTAATAAAATACTGCATTCTCCAGAATCTCATATCCCAACTAGTTTAATACATACTCAGGATATTTGCAATGCGCTTCGACTACAGCCCAGACTGCCTTCAAATCCAAAAATGTCTGAATGAGTTCACATTCAACTCTAGTTGAAAGAGTTGTCGGAGTTGGACACAAGGCTCGGCAGTTAAGAGCACTGGCTGCTCTTCCTGAAAACCCGGGTTCAATTCCCAGCACCCACATGATAGCTCGAAAGCATCTGTAATTCTAGTCCCAGGGGATGAAACACCCTCTCTGGCTTCCACAAGCACAGTTTGCATGTGGTATACAGATATACATGTAGGCAAAACACCCTAAAAAGAAATAAATAAGAAGCCGTTTCTGTCAATTAAAAAAAAAAAGACAATATGCTAAGCAGTGTACAGAATGGAGCCAGAACCAGTCAGTAGATCAGTGGCTGCAAAGGGAAGGAAGGAGGAATTGAAAAAGCCTTGAATATGACTACAGATTCAAAGACAACATTACTCACGTCTTCAAAGCCTCACGTTCTTTCCCATTAACAGCTGCTTTTCTCCCCCCATAGGATGTCCTGGTTGTCTGCTCTGGTAAAATTCTATGGCCATTGGCTGGCAGTTAAGAACAGAAACAGTCTTCTGGACTCTTCTACTTTTCTGTCCCGAGTAGAAGGAAGAGGAGACAGAGCAGTTTAGAGGATGTTTGGCGGTACCATGTGACATAGGCTAATTCTTCACATCGGTTCCTGTGGACCATTTCCATGGAGGTGTGCGTCTGTATATGAGTTGGCAGTGTGGGTCACAGTCACGGGAGATCAGCTTCTCTCTGCAGGGAGTAGCTGGCTCCTCAGACCAGGGGTGAGGAGTAGGGTGTAGGCGGGGCAATGGAGCTTAAGAGTTTCTTGATATTGGAGTCATTCAGGCACTGTTAAGTATGCTCCCAAATCCTCTGTCCATCTTAGCCTTAGTCACCTGTGTTCTCAGTGGACAAGTCATTTGAGGAAGGAAGTGATCAGGCCACATTAGGGCCCGAGGCTACCCATAAACACTTCCTAACAAAGGGTGTCCTTCTTGAAGTGAAGAAAGTGGGAGAATTCACTTGGGGCTATGATGACCAAGGGAGAGTTTCCAGAATAGGCAGGCCTCAGGCCAGACCTTGAGGGGCAGTACTTTGGACTGGAATAGTTACGGCTTGACTTTGGTGGTGTCAGCCTGGTTCCTGGTGTCCAGTGCTCCCCCCCCCCCGCCTCCCGAACAGCTAACCTCTGAGTAATGGCCAGTAGGCCAAGCCAGCAGGCTCACTGGCTAAGATCAGAGGGTTTCCTTGACCTAAATGGTCCAGATTACGGCCCCAGATCCCTATTTCACTAGGTTCCAGGAAAATCCCTTAGCCCAACACATTCCAAAGCGGTTTCCACCTGTCGAGTACAGTTGGAAAGTGAGAGAGGCTTTCACTTCGAGGGACTGAAGGCCATGGGTTTGTGATTATGTAAGACTAGACCCCTGCAGGGAAAAATGAAGGCTTGGGAAATTGTGAAGACCTTGTGGAAATTCAGTCCTATTTCTGCTGGCTAGAAGGCACTAATGGGTATAATACAGGCAAGAGATGTTGGTTCAAACAAACAACTAATTGGAATTAAGAGAAGAAGTGTGCAGAGGCCCATAATGAATGGATATGCTAATTGGTCTTCTTTGCTGGCCCCTTGGGCTTTGGCTGTGACATAGACTAGCCTATTAGATGCCTGCTCTGTAATAGCTGCTGAACGCTGGGGCCCTTTATTGCCATGGTAACATTGATGTCTAGAGTCTAGCTGAGCCCTGGATCTCTTAATTTACTACTCAGGCGGCTACAATTCTTTGGGTTTTATTATTCTTCGTGCCCCGGGTGCCAGAGTGGCAGTGAATCATGCTTATTCATCCTCTGCACCACCCACGGTGTCTCTGAATAAGACAGGGTGTCTCTGACTGTGTGTGATGAGCAGATTCTTAAGTTAGAGCCTATTCCTGCCTAAACTAGGCTGGTACCTCTCAGAACCCCAATGTGCCTCTGCAACCGCGTACTTACCTGCTTCCTTAAGTGGCTTTTGGCCAGCAGAATGACAGCCTCCCAGCCACTCTTGCTTGCTTGCTGAGCAAGGTGGAGTGGTGCACTAAAGGTGGGGGCAGCGCTGACTGTGAAAATGGACTTTAGAGACACACAGGGAACAAATCATCTCAGAGTCCCTGCTGGGAACCAGTGGCAGAAGTTTCTATGTGGGAAAGCGCATTCCTTGTTCCAAGTGACTCCAAAGGGGGGGGGGGAAGAGCAGAAGCCTTTAAAGGCAAAAAGCTACAGGGGTAACAGATTTTCTTTTTGGTAGATTATTGTTAAAAAAAATCTAGTCAGAGAGTTCAGTCTCCTCTGCAGGTTGGGAAGCAACTTGTCCCTGGAGCTGCTCAAACTTTGGTGTCATAGGACAGAGGTGCCCTAAGCATCCACTGTCAGGCTGAGGAGTAGGAAGGGGGGCTTTTGATGCATGCATGACCTCTTCTTAGTACTCGCCTAAGCTTGAAATGTGCTGTCTATATCTGATGCTGACTGCTTTATTGGGACATATGCTAAACTTGGATGATACTTTATACGCGCACGCACTTTATTCAAGAGCACATATGCTAAAATTGGGATGATATTCTATATGTGTGTGTCTGTGCCCAGCAGCAAGTGAGACTTTGCAACAGGTGCGGGCATGCTTTCCTGACACCTCTATCACTAAGAAATGGCTGGCCTCAAATTAAATGTTCAACGAAGCCCCACATCACAAATGGCCCTTTTGAGCAGAACAGCGCCTTTGGATTGTTGGGGTGTGTGTGTGTGTGTGTGTGTGTGTGTGTGTGTGTGTGTGTATCTGTATTGGTGCGTGTATTTGTGTAGGTGTGTGTTTCTGTGTGCTTCTGTATGTATATGTGTTGCTGTATATTTATGTGTGAATGTGTATTTGTGTGTTTGTGTTTGCATACATTTGTGTGTGTGCGCGTTAGTATATATGTGTGTTTTTGTGCATTTGTGTGTTTAGGTACACGTGTTGGTGCTAATTTGTGTGTATATGTGTGTTAGTGTGTGCGTTGGTATATATTTGTGTTTATGTGTGTGCTGTACACCAGCACATATGCATGCTAGTGTATGCATGTGCGTATGTAAGTATATGTGTTGTATGTGTTTCCCTGCCACATTGTCTTTGCATTCTCAAGCAAACATTTGTAGACTGGGAGGGAAGCCATGGACTACACTCATCCATCATACACTGCAAGACTTCTTTCCTGTCTGCAGAGGATGTAGGATGGAGGGCTAGCGTGAGAGATCTCCTTGAAGTAGTTATATCCGAAGAGGAGAGTTTTCCCTGCACCAGGCAGGAGAGAGAGCAGTGAGCCTAAGGAGAGCCAATCAGACATGCCG